TGTTGGATTTCTAGCATTTTGCTGAATTCCTCGGATCTCGTGATCGGCATCAGAATCTCACTCAACCCGGTATCTACACGCACATCGAACAATCAGCTCCCACCCATCCACCGAATTAACCACCCTGCAACAGGGACGCACATAATCTCAACGCCTGATGTTCACTCTGCAATCCTCCCAACCGGCCTACGAAATCCCTCATCTCACGTACATTCTTCAACCCCTTGCGCGCCTCATAATCCAGCTCGAGCCGTCGCGCAATCTTACTCAGCCTGGCGCCGACGGACGCGAAATTCAGGTCCTGGATCGCATGGAAGACGCGGTCCTGCGAGCCTGAGAGGATGTGTTTGCGCGGTTTGGGCGTGGTGGTGGGCGTTCGTGTGAATGTTGTTGTTGTTGTTGATGCTGCTGCTGCTGCGGGAGGGTCGGAGGCGGTCGCGGAGAGGAGAGACGGATCGACTTCGATTGACGCTAGAAGCAACCATGACACATACAACATTAACCACCAACCTCTCACAAGACCCGCCGACCGACGAGACCCGACGACTCACAACTTTTGACACCGACATACTCGTCCAGTAACCCCTGAAAAGTCAACTGCGTGCACATGGGTGTGATCCAATCCACTGCACGATCAATAATGATCAACGCGTCCACCTGTTGTGAAATTTCGAGGTCTCCGTACGCGGCTGGGTCTGCGTGACGGTGTTTCTGGATCAAGGTAGCGAGTCGCTGCGACAAAAGTCATGCCATGGGCAGTGATTCGGGAGAAACAGGGATCCGAGGGTCAGTGGTTATACGGGTGTGGTTTGATAAATGAAGCGGTGCGTCAAGCGTACCTTTGCGGCATCCCCCTTCCCCACGATCCGTGGGAACAGACCAAACGCACGTTGGAAAGTCATCAACGCCATACTCGCGTGAAACAAGGGCGTATCATCCCCGTTCTATGCGTGCAAAGAGGAGAAGGGCAAAAATGGGTTAGAGACGATACAACGTTTGCTCCTGCGGCTGTACCACTTTCGACGACGACGAACGGACGTACGAGGTAGATATCCCGTGCAACACACTCCCCCTCCAAACTGATCAAATCATCCTCCATCCCGACCCACTCCAACCGGTACTCACGTAACTCGACATCCCCGATCACACCGGCGTCTTCTAGTGTTTTGCGGCACAAGGCGGTGATTCGCGGGGTGAGGAGGATTGTGTATGTGGTTTTTGGGTGGTGCGCAGAGGTGGTGGTGGTGCTGCGTGTTGGTGATGTTGGTGCACCGACATTGGTGGTTGATTGTTGATGCGTTTTTATCTGATCTGAGGTAGTACGAGGTATCAGATCTATTCCACTGCGGGCACCTGTATGATCAGATGAAGAAGGGCAGGGAGAAGGAAGGGGACTTGCCTGCTATTATTCCCATGAAGTGTCGTTTAGGACGACACAGCCATACTACATTCCTCGTCTCGGCGACCAATGGTCCGGCTTCGAGCCAAGTTATCTTTTCGACTGATTGGTTCTACACAAGCACAGATCAGTCCGCGCAAGACAAATACACTCCACTGTCGTACGACGGCCTCGAGAATGCGAAAGACGCTGACGCTCGCTCTCGCTCGATGAAGGCGACTACGCTCGGCCGTCCTACGACGGCCTCGGAAGAGTCCTTCGGACTGGAAGCCTGCGGCACGATACTTTCGCTCCGCTCGGAAGACACTGATGCTCGCTCTCGCTCGATGAAGGCGACTACGCTCGACCGTCATACGACGGTCTCGAGAATACAAAAGATACGGACGCTCGCTGTCGCTCGATGAAGGCGACTACGCTCGGCCGTCATACGACGGCATCCGGAGAGTCCATCGGAATCGAAGCCTGCGGCGCTTTCTCGCTCCGCTCGAGACACTCTGATGCTCGCTCCGCTCGAAAGCCACTGATGCTCGCTGCGCTCGCGGACGTACCTTGAGCGTCCCGATATCCACCACCAACCCCAATGGCCCGCTAAGAGACCTATCCAGTACCAGAGTCTTGGGACCTTGAATGTCTGTTAGTTCCTGTAACAGAGTATCCTTTGCGAGTGTGTTGAGAAGGGAGACGTCGAGCGTGCGTGTGTTTGAAGAGGTGTTTTGATGGGAGGAGGCAGAGGTGGATGTTGCTGCTGCTTGTGAAGCGGTGGTATGACCCGCAGGTATGGATGAAGTGCTCATTGTGTCTAGGTAGTACAAGTATGATAAACTTTGTTTCTTCCATTGCGAGTGGTCGACATATAGGAACGTCGTTGTTACGTGTACGGGAGGCGGATGCTAATCAAGAGGTGATCGCTCCTCATACATTCATACAATGATTTCTGAAATTCACAAGAAACGACCCAATTCTTGCTTCCTCCTTCTCCTTCTCGATTTCCACCTAGAACAATGTCCTCATCCACCACACCGCCGCCCGATAGCCTACCCTCACAATGGTCACTCAACCTCCCACGCCGCTTCGTAATCCTCCCACCAACAGCCCTCCTTCTCGGCGCATGCATTGGCATCTCACGTGGTGGTTCGAGGGCTAGGTTAAGGTTTTTGGCGGAGAATGCACATCGGTTGCCTACAACGATACAGGGTTGGGTGCGTTGCTTCTCTACACCTCCTCAATCTCCGCCTGCTCGAGGAGGAAATCAATACACTAACACGCTGATACGTGCTGTTACGTTGGTTGCTGATTCCTGTTCTGTTCTGGCGGTGTGTAACAGTACTTCTACACCAAAACACGAAACTACCGGATCCTCTTCGGCGCCTTACGAGAAGGCGCCAAAACAGGTCTCACGCTCGGGGCCGCAACAGAGTTATACGTGATGACAGAGGAAGGCGTGCGTTTGGTGCGCAATCGGCTGGATTTTACAAGAGGAATATCGTTTATTCCTGGTAACAAGACAGGGGGACCACTGCAGCATGACATTGTACGCTCGGAGGAAACAAGAGGAACAAGGACGCTGGAAGTAGATGAGGAGAGAGATAAGCAGAGCGGGTATGAGTGGTTGGATGGAGGGATCGCTGGGTCCGTACTAGGGGGGGTTATTTCCGGGTTTAGTGAGTCATCTCGTGCCACAAAATCCCTATGTTCATTTCCCTTTCTTCTTTCCTGTGTTTCCTTTCGTTCCGGTTTTTCCATCCTCCTACCTATCAACCGTTCCGGTGTTTCCTGCGTTTTTGTCTTGCCGCGGCATTCTTCCTTGTTTTCATGCCGCTCCCTCCGTTTTCTCTCTTTCCGTCTACCCTTATTTCCCGGTCCCCAATCCCTCCCGGTCCTCCATTCCCTCCACGTCTCCCTATCCTATCTTTCTTCCCTTTCCTTGCTTTCTCGGTTTCCTGTGAGACAGGTGAGGAAACGGTCGGAGGCTATCGTAGGACGGTCGATCGAGACCCTTACTTTGCTTCCAACGTCGTCGGAGAACGACTGACACGGAATACCTCATCAATCGTCTCCTACAAATGATCTTATCCCGGAGAAGCGAAGCTCTCATGTCCTACATCGACCGAGCGCGTTCAGGAGCGGCGAGATTGAATATCGTTACCTCGTCGAAACAGTCTTGACGGTGCAGACTTCTGTGCGTTTGCTGCCGGCTTTAAATCCTCGTCGGACGGCTGCTGGGCAGCTTCCAACTCTATACGAGTGCGAGGCGCAACAGTACTGGTACATTCCGTATGATGCAGACCGGTCAGGCGTCGGTTCTCGGTGATCATGTCGTCCTTCTTTCGGGCTTCGGGACGGCCCTCGGCAGGTCGGAGCGTAGATGTGGGAGGATGGGTGGGTATCCTTCGAGCCTTGGAAAGCTGCATAGGCCTCGTCTGGGTGTGTCCCGAAGGTATACGTAGAGTGGTCGATCGTAGCTGCCTCTGTTTTCTTACGTCGCTCCCTTGCATGTCGTCCCTTCCCCTCTTCCGCGTCTTGCCCGGCCTTGTCTTCTCCTGCGTCTGCGCCTGCCTCTGCCTTTGCCTCTGCGGTCCATCACAACAGCTAACGCTTTCTTTCCGGCTCCATCACCAGACCGTTTCCCCGCGCCGCTATTCGCACGTACAGTATTCCTCGGCACGACGTTCGGCGCGCTCGAAGGGTGTTTAAGGATCGCACAGGGACGGATTGGGCTTTTGAAGGCGGAGAAGGAGGAAGAAGAGCGCCGGAGGAGGGTGCAGGAGGAGCGGGAAAGGGAAGCGGAAGAGCAGGAGAAGGAGAGGCTCGCAGTCAGTGTACAAGCGGCTGTACCATAACATCAGTATATTGCATCTCTCTCTCTCTCGTTCATATATGTACAGCGCATCGGATAGATATTCGTAACAAAACCTCTCTAGCGGCGGACCGCGGACAGCCATCCACTTCGGTTCGTTTATCGTATCATGTATTCCTGAGTCATCGTTGTGTACATGTTGAGCTGCGCCGACAGACTTCAGCCTCACGAGACATGCAGAATAATGGTTGCTTCGAGGATTGACATAGTATGTGCTATAAGCCTATCAAACATGGTATGGAGCTTCTGGTGGGAGCGGATGGTTTGAACGATGTGCAGATGCGTAGATCCTGAAATTCTTAAAGTTAGCCCTTTCCAACTGAAGAAGAGCGTGCGTTGTGAGGTCAGTTGCGCGATTGTATTTTCGTCAACCTTTCTACGCGAATGTCGAGATGCCAAAAAACTTAGCTTGTAACATCAGCTGGATGACCAGAAAGCGTGTAATCTCTGATTCCGGCATGCAAGAAGGTGTAGAAGAATCGACGACCCACTTCCCCAGCCGCAAGCCTGCCGCACCATACCAGAACATGATAGTATACGTGCCCAAGAAAGACAAAAAGAAGCGCCTGACTCCAACCCAAAGAAGTACCCGTTCTTGCAGCAAGAAGTTTCATTGACGGGGTGCCGGAGCGCGTTTCGAACATGATATCTCGTTCAAAACGCCTCCAAATGCTACGAAACTTGTAAGGATGATAGTGGGACGTCTCACGAGTATAAAAGGTGTACAGGAAACACAAAAACATGTCCCCCGAACCTGGATTGAACAGGTGACCGCGGCAGTCTTTTGTTGTGTAGCAATTACAATGCCGCGCTCTTCCAACTGAGCTATCGGGGGAGCTTGAAGACAAGTGGATTCGCAGCTTTATAGAAACTTTCCGCACAGCACCGCTTGCCGCGGGGGCCGCGGACTGGTAGCTCACCACACGGCCACCCGCTGTCCCTGCTGTCCCTTACGGTCTCCGAGCATGATTCCTTTTTGACAGAACTGTTAGAACTTTTCAGTACGGCTGCATCGACCAGGTAGGCGATAGTGAAACCTTGGAGGACTTTGGATAACGATATTCACTTTGATTGTTCACACAGAATAATTGGACAAGAAATACGCCGTATGCGTCAGGAGGAGTCCTACAGGAAGTCAGAGACATCATCCATCGCGAATTAACGAGGATTTGCAAGGGGATTTTGAGAGTCTTATTCCGAAGTTCTCTGGAAAACCCGGTTGCAGCAATCTCAATACTGAGATCTTGCGAACTTGGTGATCAGCTTGGAATTGACAATACAGTGCAGGGAGAAGACCGGCCGACATGACCTTCATGAACCTTGCTCAATGATTGTAGTCGAAATCCAAGCAGTTAGAAATCGGGAACTATCGTTATGAAACCGATAAGCCAGAACGATGGGTGGAATGGAGGCGGGAGCCTCAATCCTCATACTGAGCAAAGGTGCGAACTAGAAGTGTTAGCGAGTGCGAACTAGAAGTGTTAGCGACGAGTGCGAACTAGAAGTGTTAGCGAGTGACAGTGTGACCAATACAAAAGGCGTGGACCCCGACATCAACCCACTTTTCGAAGAATGACTTCATGATGATTTAGGACAAAGTTGGTTCTGCAACAAATGTGTCTCTACTCACCAGCGGTAACTTGTATGTCATGGACAGCATTGATCGTTCAAATGTTTCCGTACTTTCCGGACAGCAGTATTGTGATGTCCGTTAATATCTTGTGGCAACATCAGTACTTGATGTTGTCGCTTTGTCGAAGTCCATACGGACAACTCCTCTCGATGTCCGTCGCCGCGGCTTTTGCCACCACTGTCGCCACCAAGATTTGCCACCACCTTCGCCACCGATCTTGTTACAGTCATCGATCGATTCAGTTTCTGGCTAGCAAGTCACCCATTCGCTCAAGTACGCGCTAATGGGAATTCCCAGTCGTCCACCGTCGAAAGAAGCTCTCATAAGATCGAGGACCGTCTCTGAGGGCTAACGTCTGCCGTTAGACGTTTAACGTTTAACGTCTAGCGTTTAACGTATGGCGTCTGACAGCCAACGCTGAGTGCTTGGCAGGAGTGCGCTTCCACTCCAAGTAAGCGCAAACCTTTCTCAAGCTGTCCTAGGAAAATTCGCCATTGGTAAGGCTTACCTAGGAGCCAGAACGTCTATATGAGGAGAGGGATTTCACCCCTCGCCACCCAGTTGTATTTCTGTCTTGCTTCCTCAGAGCAAGATCATATGTTACCTTCAGTATTACAATATTGATCACGTGGTTTGAATCCACACTCACATATATCTTAGCCTTAGTTCTTGTCTTAGGAGGTTGGTGTCTGCCACCAAAGCCCTCTCATATCCCATTCCTGACTTCGTAAACATACATTGTGTAGAGACATCTAGTTTAGTACACGGCCAGATGACATACTTGCTGTTACATAAGACTCTCGTCCCGACTTGTCCAGTTAGCTCCATGCCCAACTCTGAGTTGACTTCGGCTACTTCAGTTACTTCGCTTCACTTCAGTACTTCACTTACTTCGCTTCACTTCAGTACTTCACTTCAGTAGCTTCACCACTTCGATACTTCATTTGAGCACTTCACTTCGCTCACTTCAGTAATCAGTTACTTCAGTCACTTCAGTTGCCCTTGGGAGGCTTCACTTCCCTTGGACAACTACGCATTCTAGATTTCTAGATAAGTATATATAGCTCAATAGCTGGCACATGCCCCTCTTTGTAATAGCTCTTATGAATTTTATCTCACCCTTTGATTACCTCTTAATTCCGAAGCTACCTTGAGTGCAAGACTTCTCAAGGATTAGCTACCCTTGTCTCTGACCTTAGGTAAATAGCAGTCCCGTCTTACGTAATAAGCCATTTGATAACTTGTGCTAGGATCCCAATTATAACGGCGGTACTGTGGTACGTATATTACGTAACACTGATCACTAGCCCGTTGCCAACAAACCCGATTGGTTCTGCTCCGTCCAATTTGGCGCGGACATGGCATATTTGATTTCCAGCCGTCGTCACGTTATAGATCCATCCCACTCTCCTTTGTCAGTTGTGCCTACTATGGGCCTCGAGCACCTGTGGCCTTAAGCTGCTGTTTGAGAATTGGTTGTACATCAATGGGAGTGCCACCAGCAGGGTGCACGGTAAACCACCTCGCAAATCACCTGCACGGCGGTATCCTCTATTTGCTTTCCCGATTGACTGCCCCTCGATTGTTCTACAGCTAATATAGTATGGAAGCGCTACCGACTTTTCCAGAAGCTTACTCAGGGCTTTGTTCTGCCTTGAATCTGATTTACAATCCGTAAGTGTATTATGTTGAGTTGTTGAGATCAATCTCAAACGCCCAGAGGCCGCACCAAACTTATGCATGTCCCCTGCCGACCCTTGAAAGAGTGCGCTGGTGTGCCGAAACCTTCAATCCGCATCGCCATTGTTAACATGTGTTATGCCTTTCAGAGATGTTCCATCACCAGAGGCGAGGCAACCGGCGACAATGAAAGAAGAATGGGAGAAGGTCGTGAACTACTTGACAGACTGTATCTGGTGTGCGGAGCATCTTCGAAACAACTATCGACTCGATCGTAAATACTACAAAAGGGACCACCCTACGTATTTGCGGTATACGCGCTCAATACGAAGAGTAGGCATCGAACAAGGTATATATAAGGAACTGAAAAGACTTGTGCACAAGACAGTATTGAGTATGTCTGCCAAAGAGCCGGCTGCGAAATGGGAGGCTGGCGCTGAAACTATTGGTGTATGGATTGCTGCTAGTACCAACATGTTCAGGGTTCCAACAGCCGACCAAGGCAACGATATGCTGACTCTGAACGCTGCGGAATCTGCTGCGAGTTCCAAAATCTTCATCAGCAGCAACGAAATGCTCGCAAGAAGTGCATCTGCTTTGGCACTGGTGAAACTGAAGGGCGATGGCAGTACCGATGAAAGCAGTCCAGACGTCGGTAGTTGGCAGTCCTGGATGCGGGTGGTAGACTTTGGTCGCTTCAGCAGGATTTGTTCGACGGCTGGAAATCCCGAAATGTGGTCTACAAGCGTCTTGGAGGACGACACCCTGTTTCCGCCGCCGACTACAGAGTATGCCGAGGATCATCACCGTGACGAACCTTCAGCCTGTTCCGCTGTAACGAGATTCTTGAGTTTTCAAATGAACAGAACCAGGAGACGTTCCGTCTAACCCTCACCAAAAGTGTCTCATACTTTACCCTTTTTGTCATTTTGCTCACTGCTTTGAAGTCGTTCAGTCGTCTATATAGTTCGCCACCATGTTGTAGAAATAGTTGGATTAGTAGTCTCCATAATTGGTATCTGTTTCGCGCCCGGTAATTTCACTTTTCCTTTGTGTAAGTATCTCATACTTTACCCTTTTGTCCTTTTGTTAATTCGAACTTGTGCAGTGATTCTATAGTTCGCCTTCATATTGTAGCAGTAGTCGGAAAGAATGGTGCAATATGGTATTCTGTTCGAGCCTGGCAAGTTTTCCTCTCCTTTTGTCACTTGTAACCCAAAATAGCAAAGTGACATAGAAACCTATGTCATTCTGCCATTTTGTCAGTTGATACTGAAAATAGCAAAGTGACTGAGAACAGTCACTTGGTCATTTTGTCACATTGTCGCTTCTATCTTCGGAACGAAGTGACCCAAGGTAGGTTGTATCCCAGAGGTCTCCCTAGGAGCCCTTGGGACGCGTTGGCTTCGTCACCCAACTCCGACGTCTATGTAATGACCAACAGGGTGATTTCCAGATTGTCGAGCATGCGAGACCGGTGTCGATACGGGCGAATAGGTTCGCTACGACACAAAACGACGCCGGATAACAGGAGGTTACGCACAACCCTGACGACGCATGCGAGTGCTACAATTCAGACGTCTCCCGCTTCAAGTGTATCCATGGCGAGCCAGCGATACGATATTGGAAGAGAATGGTTCAGCACACAGATATGGTTCCTCTGGTGCTGGCCGTTCAGGATATTCTCGGTGTAGCGTCCTCTTCAGCCAGCGACGCCAGCGTAGAGGGGCTGTTTTCCCATGCCGGACAGGTGCTAGGGAGAAAGCGTGGTTCGTTGTTTGCTAGGTTACTGTCGAAGCAAGTGATGCTGCGTATGTAGGAGATGCAGGGGCTGTTGACGGCGGACGACTTGTAGGGAGGAATGTGGAATGTGACGCAGCAGATGAATTATACAGAATAGAGCAGATGTATAATATAGAAGAGATATGAGCGACAATGAATTGACAAGTGTGATCAATCACACTGGAGCGACTAGTCACTCAAAGCTGGACACCCCAATAAATACTAGTCGGCAGTTGAAATGACTAGTCGTTCGACCAAACGACTTACTTATACTGATTAGTCGGTCAAAGTAGCAACTAGTCGTGACTATGACTAAAGTAAAACTAATTAGTCATATTCCGTGGTGACTATGACTTGACTGCATACTTTGACTCCCCGCCAAAAAGTGACTAATACTAATATGACTGCTTAATTGTGCCGAGCTCTAATAATGCAGCTAAATTAGTTGTAAGTTTTGCCTCTCACGAATTATGAAACACGCTTTTCCTCCCGAACTCCTGATCAGCGCCCTTGAGTGAACTAATTACAATCCTGAGTAATACCTTTCCTATCATCGGTCTACATATTACATCCAGTCAGTCAGTACTTTGCCTTATACGTCAACAATAGTCGCACAGCATAATCCTTTCTGACCGATCTCACCTCAAGGTCTTGTACTTTTTATAGCGGGTATGATATTGCAATTATGAATATATGCTATTTTATCTACAAAGATACACGGACTCCTACACTCGTTTGCGCACCCCGGCATCTGTGCCGGCACTATTTTACCATGGATGGTCACCTGTAGTGCACGGCTAAGAGTATAGACGTAGGACTGACATCATGTGCCATCGGAACTTTGTTCTATTTCGCAGACCAAGGGTGATTATACACTCTCGGCTACCTTTGAGCATTTAATATGACAGATGGATACGTATCCCTGAGCATGTTTAACATATCGGATAATCCTATTCACTTTCACTATCCCCTTGTTATTCGGGTGGGAAGAACTAAGTGCTCATGTGTTGGATGTAAAGCATGGTAACAGATTGACAATAGACAACCCTCTCGATCAGCAGCACATCAATCTCCCTTAGCTCAGTGGTAGAGCGCGACACTAGTATCTGCTTTCGATTCTGTGATGTCGAGGTCAGTCGTTCAAATCGGCTAGGGAGAAAGACCTTTTTGTCCTTCTTAGAAACCGCCGACATGGGGTCTGTGCCCCTTCCCCTTTACCACCGTTTCTCTCTGTAGCTTCGAGATATTCATAGACCTGAATCGTGTTCATCGCCACATTCTTTCACACCCAGGCAGTTCCCTGTTACCCATCAAGATAGTTTTCCTATTCCAGATTCCGCTTTTTGCCGCAGCATTGCAGGAGTGCGAAGAATATCATCGAAATCGAATCTCGTTGCGATCATGCCACTGTATCAACGGCCTCATGTCCTTGCGCGGCAAAAACCCCTGGCTCCTCAATCACGACGCCGGATGACGATTGAACCCCACCTGCGCTTCCCCCACGGGTATGGTATCACCTCTCATTGCGATAATGAAGAAACGAATTCTGCTTGGGGCACAGGCATATGGTCTCCACGAAATCTGTCATGTCTCATCATTTTCGACATGTGAAAGACATTCAAAAGATTATTTTCCAGAGTTATCCCTCTCCAAGCTGAACCAAAAGGCCCTTGAGCGGGTCTTCACCGATCAATACATCATACGCGACTAGATATTGTGCTTTTACCTCGACAAGTCAGTAGTAGGAAGACTGACGAGCTCGTTGCCCTTCTCCTCCGCCCATCAACCGGCCTCGAACGACACCCTGTTCGTCATCCACAAAAGCCCGTAGGTCGCTAGTACGCTGCACCCGTCAAACTGCGTATCCGTTACAGGGCGATATCCTGCGTCTACCGCGGGTCGAGCTGCATCGATTCCCAAGAGCTGCACCCTCTCCACCTCAAAGACGGCACCGGTATCCCTCAATTACACATTTTCATGGCAGCGAATTTCGTTTGTCCGTTCATACAACCGACCCTAACCCCCCATTGCACCGACACTTGCGCCACCACGGATATGTATCCCCCCCCCCCTTTCGACCTTTTTCGCCCAGTCACCTGATATCCTCCACCGAAATCCCGTCCCTACACTGCCTATGCAGCTGCAGATGCCGCTGCGGCCGCAGCCGTTACATGACCGGGCACCAAGATCCTCGGAATGAATGTACCGAGCAAGGCGGCGGCGCCCATCCTATTGCATACCAGAACCAGAACCACGGGAGAGCGAGCAATGCGACGTGGGTGTAAGAAAGGAGCGATGAGGGAGTGATGTAAAAAGGTCAGTAAGGGGACAACTGATAGAATGTATTGGATGGATTCGTGGGGAGCGCAGGGTGAAAGCGAAGAGCGGATCACGAAAGTAATGTAAAGCCAAGGCGCGCATTTCGCTAGCATCCGTCGATCAACTCTTCCCTGTCCTTTACGCAGCACGTAGCCTGTAGCCACTGGTGCACGACGTGCGCGCGGAGCAACGAGCACGCTGCCGTCGCCGAACGACGATGGACCACGGACGGACCACCCACAACACACAAAGCACCAGGGTAACGAGCGAAAACGAGAGGGAAAGAACGCGAGAAAGGAAGAAAGAACGCACGCAAGTCCACTCCATGGTCCACCCATACCTGCACCGCTTTGCCCGTTTGTCTTCTTCTCCGTCAATGGTTTCTGGTTGAACAGCCCCAGGAGGGCCGTGATGATCGCTAGCCATGCTGCCATCCTGCGCGACCGGCAAAAAGGGAAACGGAAAAGAATGAGGGTCAGTTGTGGGTTTTGTGTGACGGACGAAAGCGGAAAGCCAGAGACAGAAGATGAAGGAGGAGGCAGGGTTAGGAGTGGGGAGTGGTTTGGAGGAGGAAGACGTACGAGTTTCTACTCATCATCGCGAAACCAGCAACGACCGTCGATGCCGAACTAAACCTATACCACCAGGCAACAAACACAAGATACGGCTGATCAGCAAAGCGATCCAAAATTTAAATCGCCCAAACCAAGAGAGTAAGCCGGAAAGAGGAGGAGGGAAAGTGAAGGATCAATCCGCCTTGGTCTGACCGTTCCCGTCGCTTCCTGTTTTCATATTCCTCCGATTGGGACACGCCCGTGCCCGTGTCGGAGAGAAAGGCCTGGGACGACACGATATGAGACTCTCCACCGCACCGTAATGGCTTGTATCGTTCCTGTGCGCCATACCATGCGTGCGTGCGCAACGCGCGGTCGGCGGGCGGGTTGGTGTCATGGAGGGATGAAACGGCGTGGCCAAGAGGGCAACGTGACGAAGCGAGCGAGAAGAACGAATAATAGTGAAATGACCGAGGAATGCGGGGGAGAGCAGGAGGGAAGGGGAGGAGCGATGTAAGGGAAAGAAACGCAGTGTGACGTACATGTCTGTCGTCTCTTTCCATTCTTTTGGGAGGTGGAATGGCACGATCACCCTATACAGCCGCCACACCCGTTCAAAGTACCATCATAGCCAGCCATTAACGAGTACCGAGAAGGACGAGAGTCGAATCGGGCAAGGAAAGAAAGAACGTATATCACAAGGAAAGAAGTCAGAATCAAATGCGGCGTTCGGTAGCAACGGCTGGATAGGGCGATGCGAAGACTCACGCATCTGCGGTTTTCGGGTCAGACTTGTCGTATACCGGAGCTTGGAATGCTGTAGACATGGTTGTTCGTTGTTGAATTGGTGCGGTTGAGAGGATCGGAATATGTTTGGGAAGATGCTTGTGAATAGTGATTCATCCATTTTGACCGAGTTGTATTATGCGGGGACTGGGAATTTGGATCCGAGGTTGCATGATGATCGAATCCACCACCAACCACTTCTTCTTCTTCTTCTTCTTCAACCTTTTCTCTTGTTTTCCTTGCTGTTCCTTCCTCCCTCTGACCCATTCCTCACAGAGCAACACAATGTCAGACCCATCACTCGCAAGCATCCACCCACACCTTCGTGCACTCGCAACACGCGCAGATCGCGCACGAGACCAAGTAGCTCGACTGGTGCAGTTACTCGGGTCAGATCCGTTGAATGATCCGACACGGATGAGTATGTTTCCTTGGTACGTGCGCTCACAGAGAACAGGGGAAAGCAAATCCAGAGGAATGGTACGTACTGACGAGCTGTGCGGCTGTGCGGTACGTAGGTCCGTATTTCTGGAACACTACAACACGATAACACACACTATCGCCGATCTCTCCACCCACCTATCCAGTACTCAACCCTTGGCAGCACTATTCATCCATCCGGCCCACGCACTCTCTCAAACGGATCAAACAGCACTCTACGGCGGACAATTCGCCGTACATGATCCGCCGTTACGGCCCATCCCTGGGAAAGCGTACATTGATGCGAGGGAGGATGGGTACAGGGAGTTTGCGCAGGGTGTAGAGGCGCTCGTTCAGGGAAAGCTGAAAGCTGTGGCAGCAAAGGAATCCGACCAAGCGAGCGGTCCTACGGATGAGGCGTTGAAAGCGGAATACCAAGCCCTGCTGGACCAATCAAGCATCTTCCTCGAGTCGGACGAACACGTAAACCTCTCCCTGCTCGAACCAAACACCACCTCGCACCAATCCCTCGACCGATCCCTCATGCTCTCCCGCTCATTATTGACCGACCTGCAGAAACGGCAGAAGAAGGCGCAAGCGGCGGTCGGCGGGTTGAGGCAGGGGTTCGAGTGGGGTATGAGGCTTGATGGGTCGTGGAGTGCGAGGCGGGAAGCGGAGGAGGCTGCTGCTGCTGCGGTACGGTTGGGCGAACAAGGGGCGGAAGAGGATGATGATGGATCGGGAGATGATGATGGTTCAGGGGATGATGACGACGAAGACGAGGAGGACGATGAGATGGAACAAGTCCCTACACCCGGCACAAGCACTATCCCACCACCAACTGCGCAACCAACGATCACACCCGCTACTGACATCACAACAACTTTATCAGCAAGCTCACCAACGATACCGAACACTGCAACGATAGCTCCTGCCGCCGCAACAACGACAAATGCAGCAACGGCACAGAAAGAGGTTATTGATCTTATGGATGACGATGATGAGGATGACGATGATTTATTTGGGGATAATAGTAGTACTGCGACGCCTGGCGCGACACCTGGCGCTGGTACGACGTCGCTGTCGAGCGGTACGCAGACGGCGCAGGCACAGGGAGAGGGAGAGGGGGAAAGCGATGAAGATGAAGAGATGGATCAAGTTGCTTGACACTCATCCACAGGAACCTCGTCAGTCCTTAAAACATGATTATGAATATAATACGGTTTCATTCTCCCAATAGGGTCGCTACTATGAATCACTACGGGCGGACAGGCCTTCTACCCTCGAAGCGCAAAGGGACCCATCGACGCTGTTTCTTCTGGCCAGGGGGGATAACAACCGTTCCCACGCATCTTCGCTTATAAGTGCGGCAGTGCTGAGCCTTCGTCCGATTGCCATGAACGATGGCGCATTGGATACTTTACTCGCAGGCCTTCCAGCACTAGCATTGCCGCTTGCGTTCTGAGTGTGGATCACAGACGAGTTGCAGGACGTATCTCTCTGGGTTGCTTCCGACGGTTGACACACGGAAAAGCCAGAGGCATCGGTTGCAGAGAGGTCTTCAGGGCATCGCGTCTGTTCGATAGTTGGCGCGTTTTCTCCTATTGGATCCGCAAGCAGGTGCGCCTGACTTTCCGAGAGGCCGTACATGGGCAGCGTCCAAAGACCGCGTTCGGTCATCAGCTTGAACCATCGGCCTTCAAGTCGGTTGATCATCCTGCGACTGTCTCTTCGAAAAAATCTATCCATCTCTAGCTGATTCTTTCTGAAGTGACCAACCGCTGCGTCCCATGCGCCCTTTACCGCAACTCGTGCCATATCGATCTCAACTATTTCAGACCCGAGTATAGGCGCATGCCCAGTGAAACTGTCTACCGGCCTGGTTTCCAGTTCGGTTCTCAAGGTGTTGAGAGAGCCCTTCAACTTTCCTATAACGGACGACAGCTCGCTGCGCAACCTGAACAAGCAGGAATGTCTGCATCGACTCTTGAAACAACTCAGTACCTTCCCTTGGGTCGAGTGGACCCGCAAGGCCTTCTACTTACTCGGCTAGGTTCCTCTCCGCGATATCTTTCAGCTC